CCCCAGACCACAAGGTCCTCGTGGCACTGCCACCACCCTGAGCCACCACGTCCCCATGGCATTGCCACCACCTCCCTACCCCAGACCACAAGGACCCCATGGCACTGCCACCACCCTGGGCCACCACGTCCCCACAAGACAACCACAGCCACATCCCCACCGTGGAGCACAAAGTCCCTGTGGCGATGCCACCCCCACAGCCACCGTGTCCCCATGGCACTGCCACCACCCTCCCTACCCCGTCCCTGCAGATCCAGCATGGGGATCCCTGCCCTGTGCCCGCAGAGCCGCGCAGGTGGGGACAACATCCCGGGTGGCCCATGACGGAGCCCCCCAGCGTGTCCCCATCCCCATCCCCTACACGTGGCCACCGCAGCCCCTCGGAGGAGCGCTCCGGGAGCCAGGCTGGCAGGGCCCCGTTGGCAGGCGCGGGCTGGAGAAGGACAAAGCCGAGAGGCAGCGGCTGCAGGCTCCGCTCGACGCGAGCTCTCTGCAAAGGTTAAGCAAACAGCAGCTCCCGCAGAATCGATGCGCAGCCGAGCCCACGGCTGTTTGCTCTGCATAATGAGGCGGAGGTGGGCGGCCGGGGGGGCGCAGAGGGGCTGCTGCCGGCGGGGGGCCCGATCGATGCTCGGGGGGCGCGGGGGACGGCGCGGGGGCACGGGGCGGTGGTGGGCGGCCACGGCCCCGCTGCTCGCTCGGGAGCTCATTAAGGGAGGATTTGGGGAAGGGAGAGGGCAGGCGGTGGCCGGGGCCGCGTGGTGGGGTCGGAGCTGCTCCGTGCCTCAGTTTCCCCTCCTGTGGCAGCCGAGCGGGTTCAGGAGCTGACGAGGAGAGCTGGACGTGGTGGGGGTGCTGTGGGTGTGGGGTGGCACTGGGAGGGCACCCCGTTGCCACACGGGTGCATGGTGAGCGCCTGCATCGCCCACGCTGGGCGCCGTCACCCACAGTCACACCGCGTCCCTTGCACCAAGGGTCCATGCCAGCCCTGCTGGGAGGCAGAGGTGATTAAACGAGGCTGTTAATGAGTTTTTTCAGCCCGGTGATGCCTGTGAAGATGTGGCACAGAGCCTGGGCACTGCAGTGGAGCTCCGGGGGCATGAAACAAGGGAAACTGAGGCACGGGGCAGAGCCACGGCTGCACAGGCAGCGCTGCTCAGCCAGCCGCCTGCTGACCTGGAGGCTGACTGACCGCTGGCTGGCTCTTTGGGCTGGTGGCTGGTGGCCAGGTGGCTAGCTGGATGCACGGATGGCTCTTTGGCTGGTCGCATGCTCTGCAAGAGAGCTGCTCAGTCGGCTGTCCTGGTAGCCACACAGCCAGGGGGCTGCTTGGCTGCCTGGTCAGTCGGTCACTGGCCACATGGCAAGTGGCTAGCTGGCTGGCCAACTGGCTGGTCAGCTGCTTGGTAGATGGCCAGGCGGGTGGCTGGCTGGCCAGGCGGTGGGTTGGGTGGCTGGCTGGTTGGCTAGCTGGCCAGTTGTCCGACAGGCTGTTTGGCTCGCTGGCTCATCAGTTGGCCAGCAGGCTACTTGGTTGACTTAGAGGGCTAGCTGGCTGGCTGATGGGCTAGCTGGCCAGCTGGCTTAGCCCTGGTATGGGGCCGTGGCAGCACGCCCAACCCCGTGCCCGGCACTGTCCCTCGTCCTGACGGGTGACCCCGTTGCGGCTGGGGGGGCGATGTGGGGGCACCACGTCCCCCTCGCAGCCCCCAACCCCACCACATTGCGCTGCCTCTCGTTACAGAGGCTGCGGGCACAGCAGGGCCGCCACCCTCCCACTGCTTGGCAATTAAGGGCTGCCAACACCGACACTTAATTAGAGCCTGGTTGATTGGGACAGCCGGTGACTGATGGAAAATCACTGCTCGCCTGGCAGCAGGGGACGGGATGGGGTGGGCGGAGGGGACAGGCTCAGGGACCACGGGGACGTGTCCCCCCAGCGGGGCCGGGAAGGGCGAGGTCAGGGCTGGTTTGAGCCCAGAGTTCACTGCTCTTGGCCACCTCAGCGTTGTCCCCTGGGCACGGGGACACGGTGTCCCCGAGGTGACTCGTCATGCGGTGGCACAGGGACCGATGCCACGCAGTGACCGGTATTTGCTGGGGACCTTCCTCCCGCTGTGCCCTTGGGCAGCCAGGTCACAGGGACGCTGTCCCCAGGCTGTCCCCAGGGCTGGCAGGGACGGGGACGGGGCGCAGCGCACCCCAGGGGTGTGCAGTGACACTGGTGACAGCCCGCGGGCCGTGCAGGGGAGTGGCTGTGGGGGATATCCTGCGCTGTGCGGTGACACTGTGACACCCCGTGGGCCATGCAGCTGACAGCAACACTGGGTGACACCCGTGGGCCATGCAGTGACAGCGACGCTGCGCGATACGCTGCGGGACGGCAGTGACGGTGACGCTGCGTGACACCCGTGGGCCATGCGGTGACATGGCGCGGGGTGACATCCCCTGCGCCCGGCACTGACGGTGACTCCGTGTGACAACCCATGGGAGCTGCAGTGACACTGTGTGGCACCCCGTGGCCACGCCGTGACAGTGACACCCTGAGCACCGTGCGGTGACAGTGACGCCGTGTGACACCCCACGGAGCAGGGAGGCGCAGTGACGCCGCGCGGTGCCTCGGGGCCGTGCGGGACCCGGCGCGTGCGGGACCGTGCAGTGACGGTGACAACGTGTGACACCGTGGGGGCCACGCAGTGACAGCGACACCACGCCATACCCCAGGGGCCGTGCAGCAACACCGTGTGACACTGGGGAACACGCAGTGACAGTGAGACTCCTGACACTGGTGCCACCAGTGCCACCATTGAGCCTCCTCCAGCTGTCCCCTGGGGGCTGCTCCCTTGGGCGTTGGGGCCAAGACCAAGCCCATGCTCAGGGGACTGTCCCCACCGGGGGACACCGCCCTGTCCCCAGGGCACAGTTGAAGCCCCTCGCCCAGGCAGGGACCCCCGGTGCAGCTCGTGCTGCCCTAGGAGGGGACGCACCGGGACGGGACACACGGGGAGGGGGCGGCCCCTGCCCCCCGCCAGCCGCAGCGTAATTGATCCAGGTGCCAATTAGCAGCAGCCAAATATTTGGCTTGCGCGCCGAGCCCGCTGGGCTCCCTGCTCAAACACAGCCCGACGAGAGGAGACGGGTGGGCAGGGGCTGCTCAGACGCTGCCCGATCGATGGCGCGAGGCAGCGGTGAGCTGGGCCGGCCTCAGCGTGCGGGCTGGAGGACGCTTGGGAACACGGTGCGGAGCCTTTGGGCCACCACCAGCACCCGTGGTCACCTCCTGCCCACCCCATTCTGGTGGCTCCCTCCCGCCCGCAGCACCCCGGGGTGACCCACGGGTGACGGGAGCCCGCGTGGAGCCAGGTCCCCGGGGTGACCCCCCAGCATGACGGGCACACGGGGCTCGGGCCTGTGTCCCCGGGCTGGGTGCGCGCTGCCCTTCAGGCCCCCTCCAGGGCCATCGATTGAGCTGTCGATGTCACGGAGCAGCGCTGGCAGCCCGCAGAGCGGGGCCATCCGTCACCAGCACCGGCTGCGGGCCGAGCCACGCGGCCACCGCCGAGCACAGGGGGACAATTGTCCCCGAGAGGGACAGGGAATGGGGACACGGGTGTCCTCACGGCTTGTCCCCTGGGCGGGGTGGCTGCAGGAAGGGACGCGGGACCTTGGGGAGGACAGGTCTGTCCTGGGGCACCCACAGGGGGAGCAGCAGCTGGGTGCCCACCGGGCTCGGTGCCCCCCCAGGGGTCCCAAACGCCCTCTCCACGCACCAAGAGGGGGCACGAGGTCCGACCCCGCAGCACCGTGGCCGCCCCCGGCCCCTTCCCACCAGCCCGCGCCAGGGGGAGCGCTGCGCCTCGCAGTCCCCCTGAAAATCCCCCCTCCCTCGGCCCTGCTAAACTCATTAGCGGCTGGGAAACGTCAGCAGGGCAGGAACGAAGCGCCAAATGTGATTACTGTGCTGGTCTCGCTCCCCCCGGCCTCATCGCAGCCCCATTTATCGCGGAGGCAGCGAGCCGGGAGGGAGGAGCGCAATCAGTGCTTATCTCTGGCTTAGACCGTCCTGCTCCAGCCCTGATTTATGGCTTGCTGGGAGGGACTCCCAGCCCCGACGTTCCCACTGCAATTAAAGGCACATTAAAAAGGAGGCGAGGGGCTGGGTGAGGAGCGTGGCATGTCGGAGGGTTATTGCTTGTCACCAGCTCCTCCCAGCGCTGCCCGAAGAGCCTGAGTGCCCCGGCTGGGTGCCCCAGCTTGGGGACACTCTCCCACAGCCGTAGGTGCCAGGGCTGTGGCTCGGGGACCAGCAGAGCCCCACAAAGAAGCCAGGCCCCCGGGCACCCCACTGGGCTTGAGAGGGGCGAGGTGTTGGGGTGGGGACAGGGGACAGGGGCGCACACGGGCTGGGCAGGGCTGGGACAAGCTGGGAAAGGTGCCCGTGCCCGAGGCTGGTGCTGGGGACAGGGGGCACGGTGCCTTGCTGCTCTGCAGCCCTGAGCTGATCGGTGGATCAGAGCCCAGGCACCCTGCAGGGTTTTGGGGCGAGCCCAAAGACCACCGCACATAAACAAGAGCCTCGAGTGCCCAGAACTTCAGCACCCACCTCTCCCCACAACACCCAGATGTGCTGGTGGCAGCAGGACGCGGCTTCCCTGGGGGTAAAGCACTGAGCTCAGCCTCAGCAAAACACCCCGAGCCCCTGAGCCAACACCGAGCCACGGCCCGGAGCCCAGAGCTGAGCCCAGAGCCAAGCCCAGAGCTCAGACCTGGGGCCGAGCCCTGAGCCTGGCGAGGAAGCTGACGCTGCGGCTGCTGCCCAGTGGAGCTCCCTGGGACCAGGGCCGGGCTCGGCACCACGAAAGCACGAGTGCACTCATAAGCTTTGCTCACACGCGGTGAACTTTACAGAGCGCAGCCGTGCCCCGGCAAAGGAACAACCTGGGAGCTGGCCAGGAAAAGAGCAGCGCTCAGCAGCCCGGAGATTTCAGAGCCACGGGGAGCCGGCTGCTGTTCGGTGCTTTATTAAAACAAACGCCAGGAACCAGCACCCGCTCTGCCCAGACTCGTGCTCTCCCCTTCCCCCAGGGAGCTGCTGAAGGCGAACTCCAACAGCAGCAATCGCGTTTCCCGAGGCAGGTCCCAGACCCCTGCAGGGTAGGTCCCAGACCCCAGACCCTCAGCATCCCCCCCTTTGGCAGGGGTGACCCACCAGGAATGGCCACAGGATTATTGATGCTGCAGAAATACAGGGCAGAGGCACCACGAGCAGCCAGCTGAGCACCTATCCCGTGTGTAGGAACACATTTAACACGAAATAAGGGGAAATCCCACACCTGAATTCCGGTTAGCTGGGGCTGTGCACTAGGAGGGGACCAACCTGGGGACACCCGGTAGCAGCCCCTGGGACCTGAGAGCCCCCACGGCTGCCCCAGGAGACACCGAAGTGCCTGAATTCACCGCATAAGTCCCAGCACTCAGGTCCACAAGGGGGAAAACAAGAGCCTCATCCCCTCCAGGGGCAGCCACCCCACCCCACAGACGGTGGGTGGGCAACTACCTGAGCAGGATCTTAAAGAAAGGAGATGGGAGACGGTGCTGGAAGAAAACTCGTATTCACCTTGGGAAGGCTGCAAGGAGACGCCTCACCCCCTGTCTGCATTCAGCTGGCAAAGCTCATTAAAACAGGTGGCCTTTCGCTGCCCTTTTCAAACCTGGAAATCCAGGCCCTTCAAAGACACACACAAAAAAAAGCCCCTAAAAAAGGTGATTTAAGAGATGAAGTGCTGGAGGAGGAGGTACAGCAGCCCTCCTAGCCCAGCCACGGCCGCCCCCAGCGCCAGCCGTGCCCAGAGGAAGTCCAGGGAATCCTCCAGCCGGGCGTGCAGCCTCAGGACCTGCCGGCGCGTGCTCTCGCGGTCCCCGGAGTTGTCGATGATGTGGCTCGCCAGCTTGCGCTTCTCGTCCAGCGGCAGCTGGGAGGCGATGCGTGCTTCGGCCTCGGCCTGGCACAGCCCGTTCCTCTTCATCAGCCGCGACAGCTGGGTCTGCGGGTCGCTGTCAGGGTGGGAAGGCAGCGCTGAGACACGGGCACGGGAGGGAAAAGGGGTCTGCGGCCAACCCCATGCGCTGACGGGGTTTGTCTGACTTGGGCACGAGGGAAAATGGCCAGGACAGGGGGGAGAGATGTGCCAGAATGCAGCAACTGCCACCCTGCTGCCCAGGTGGACCCGGCTGCATGGTTTTGGCACTCCCCTGGCCCACAAGAGCAGGGTGGTGCCCAAAAGCCTGCCCAGAACAGCAGGGCACAGCTTGTGCGAGGCCCAGGGACAGCAACTGCCATTACGTTGGTGCCAGGTTTTAGAAAAACCTCATTAGGAAGACTGTGGCACTCCTCCTCTAGGATGAAGGAAGGTGCTGCTCCTTGTGAGCATCCCCAGAGCAGAGCCGTGTCGCACGGCTTCACGCCAAGGCAGCGGCCAAATCCTCCCCGGAGGGCAGGGGAGGGATGGCACAGCCGCCCCCAGCCCCCGAGAGACGTGGCAGCGCCCTGGGCCTCTCGTGGCTCGCGTGGCACTTACCAGTAAACCAAGACCGTGTGTTTCATAAACTTCGTCAGCCTGTTGGTCTCAAAGAGCAGGGGGATGTCGAGGATCACGTAGCGGTAGCCTGCAGAAACGACAGCCCCCGCCAAAAGGAGCAGTCTCGCTCGCATTCCCCAAGCCCTCGCTCCGCACGTGCGGCGCAGCCACAGCTGCTCGAGCTTTACAGCTGCTCCGGAGGGAAGAGCAGAGCGCGCCTGCCCTCCTCCCTCCTCCCTCTTGGAGGGAGGAAACGGTTCAATTCCAAGCTTCCACAGGAAAAAAAAAAAAAAGACAAAAAAAAAAACAAAAAACAACAACCCTAACCTGGATGATCTCAGACCAAAGGTGAAGCTGCAGAAATATAATGAGGAGCTGAAACAAGAAGCTCAAATGAAAGCGCCTGTGCATTGCTGGCAAGAGCGGCAGCCTCAGCGCCTTCGCCGGCCTCTCGCGGGGAGCAGTGCCCACAGCACAATTTGCTCCTCTCTCTTTTGGCTGTCCAAGTCTCTGCCAGGCTGCAGTCATTTAAGCCGAGGCTTCCCAGTTCATTTCTCAACTTAGTTTTCTTCCCTTTTGGAAAGCTTTAGCAAAGCAGTCCCACTGTTCCCTAGGGGAGCGAGGAAATCCTTGCAAACCTCTCGCAGCTCAAACACGTGCGTGCCTCTGGGTACAGCTCCAGGGCCAAAGAACTCACCAGGATCCCTCAAGGTTCTTTAAAACACCCCCAAAACATGCACACAGCCCCAAGACCCCTCCTGGCTGCACCCCGGGACAGGGCTGGGCATGAAAAGTGTCAGTGGCACCAAGCACAGATCCACGGGGACGGCTGGGGACAGCGCGGGCAGAGGAGAGCTGAGCCTGCCTCGAGGCTGGATGGAGCGGGCAAACTTTAAATCCCCTCCTCTCCACCTGTGGTGCTGTGACCGCGAGGGGCAGCTGGTGGAGGAGTCCGTCACCGTGAGCCTCCATCCTCTGGGGCCCTGCAGCTGATCCCAACCTCTCCACGTGCCTCCACTCCTCTGCCTGCAGGAACCCAAGCTCCTACAGCAGCTTTTGGGGCAGCGCTGCACAGCCTGGGTGAGATGGTGAGGGCAGGGAGAATGCCGTGTGCTGGGGCCCTCGCTTCCCCGGGTCGTTTGCTCGGACACAGCCGGCCACAGGGACATCTCCAGCTTCACAAACCAAGGCAGCGCTCCCAAACCGACCTGCCCACAGCAACGAAAGCCTTGACGAAGGTGTAATCATCCAGCAAACCACCATTTTACCAGCATCTCTAGATAGAGAGACTTCTTGCTGCCCTATGGCTTGATCAATAGCGCTTTCCTTACCAAGCAATCCTTAGAGACAGCATCCAGCTATCCCAAATCATTAAAGCCTGACTAATGAGGACAAAGCAGCCTGCTGAACACACACAGCGCTCTCGCCAAGGGGCAGGACAGCATCTTCCTTCTGCGTCCGCGGCCTGGGTTCGAACCTCCAGCACGGTTTAGCTCCCAGCTTCCCGGCCCGGGGCTCCTCTCCCTTCCTCCTCCTCCTCCTCAGCCCAGGGGAGCGGGGCCCATTCAGCTGTCACACGGCTCAGCTTTGATAAGCTGCGCAGAACCAGTCTGACTCTATTAAGACATCCTTCTGTCTACGCGGAGACCTCCAAAACAGCTGGTGATCTTATCTGGCATTTGATTAGACCAAGTTTGACAGCTGTATTTGTTATATTTATCAGGGGAAAAAGCGGGACTTTGGAAACCACAGCTGTCAGCCCATTCCTCACCTTATCGGGGCTAAAAGCGCTTTGCAGCTTTCATCGAAGCCCAGCGAGGCCGGGAGCGGGGGATAATACTTGGCCATTTCGGAAGGTATGACATTATCCAGCACGTAATCTCAGAAGAGGCCTCACAATGCTTTTCTCAGGCCCTCCAGATGTACTTTACACCACAGAAGAAGAACGTGAAGGGCAGCAATGAAAGGCAGGGAGGGCAGGAACGAATCCTCCGAGCGCCGGCGCTAAAGGCCAGGGCTGGCAGGCACAAAGGCCGTCACTCAGCGCCGGCTCCCTTCTCCTTCCCCATCCCTCTCCCCACTTGAACGCCGAAGCCAGCGCGAGCGGGGCCGGCCCGCATCGCTTACCTAGCACAAAGTACTTCAAGACCTGCTTCAGCATCTCCTTCTGGATCTCGGGGTGGGTGATGGCGTTCAGCAGCTGCCGTTTCTCCGGCTGGGAGAAGATGATGCTTCCCAGAGCCTCGCGATTTATCTCGCCGCTCTCCAGGAGGATGTCGGTGCCGAAGTGGCGCACTATCTGCTGATAGGCCTTCAAGTGGGGCTGCACCACTGATAACACGAAACAGCCGGAGGTTAGAGACAATTCTACGGCACCGCCAGCGCTTGCATCAGCGAGCGGCCTCAAATGGGTTTTGTTCATTAAATAACCGCGCTCGTTCTCCTCGGCAGAGCGCATCTGGCTGCCAGCACACGCTGAGCCCGGCGCCGCAGCCTCGCAGCCACCTGGCAGCGGTGCTGCACGAGCCCCGTCTGCAAAGCTCCCAGCCCAAGGTGCCTTCGAGGTCTGACGCCCGAGAGATCGAAGCGCCCCGAGGCATTAATTCAGCGCCACGACCCGGCTCGTACGTGCGGGTGAGGAGTCAGCAGGCCGGGCGAGGGAGTTGCTGTCACAGCAGGGACAGACCGAGCCTGTTCCCACCGCAGGCAGGGCAAGGATTTGAGCAGGGGGGATCTTAAAGAGATTGGTTTCCTTCAGCTGAAACTTCACACGAGGGGAACGCAGCCTGGCTGCACGCTGGTGGTTGGCTCTGGCTGTTACTAAGGGTTTTTTTTTTTCCACTGTCGTTAGCCTCAGTCACCAAATTCTTTGTGAGCACAAACAGAAACCTTCTACAGATCCGTTCCCAGCAGGTATTTGCAGGGACTCTGACATCACACAAACACGGGATTTTAGAGCCATCAAAATCACCAACGAACAGGATGAAATAATAAAAAACCAGAATTAAGATCAAGCTGGGGCTAACCACGGAGAACGACAGCCTGTATATAATTTTCTCTCAGAAATCCAGGAACGTTGCCACAGGTTGTAACCTCAGGGCAACCTAATAAAAGTCTTTAGGGCCGATTTCTTTCTCTATTTGAATTTCACATTGAGGCAGTTTCAGTATGGGTGAAATCCGCATCGTAAACAGACATCTAAAAAGGGAATTGGAGGAAAAGGAAGTGATTGGCAGAAAACAGACACCGAGTATCTGCGGTGTTTTCCTATGGTCTCCGAGGGCTTTTAGCACCTCTAGCAAATCTTCCACACCTCGAGGGGAATCACGGTGCAGCAAGATGTAGGAGCATCACAGCTGCGGGTGGCTACAAGGTGAGCTCCTCGACAAGCAGCACGGCGCAGGCGTGGCCGTGACACAACCGGCACCGCTCCTCCGCTGCAGACCCGAGGCCCCGCGCATACAGAACGAGGGGGCCTCGTGGAAGCGAGCGCTGCTCTCCCCGGGGGCACTGACATCTCGCCCCACGTCACACCTGGGGAGAGCAGGCTCTGCTCCAGGCCCGCTGCTGCAGATTTGGATTTCTGGGTCTTTGCTGTAGCCAGGCAAACAGAGCAGCAAGATGCAGATGTGCCGGGCGGAAGCACAGACCCAATTCCCTCTGATCTGAGAGATTCGCAGCTGCTTTTTCTGAGCACGCTAAGGCACAAGTAATTCTGTGATTCATCTTTGTGTGAAGAAAGCAACGCCCAGCACAGAGGGAAATTCTCCTCCAGCACCAGCGATCCCACCTGCCATAAGCGAGGCCTGGGACGGGTGTCCTGGGGCTGAGGGAGGAAATTGGCTCAGCCGAGGGGACTCGCGGTAAGGAGGAGCGCGTTGCTCTCGCCAGGAGTTGGTTTCAAAGCCAGGAAGCGCTGACTGCACTGCACTCCAGGAGAGGGAAACTCAGGGCAAGATGTCCCCAGGGCATTTGTTATTAGGACACGATCTGTTTTTTGGTTTTGATTAGAAATATATCCCAGTTCCAATCCCCTGAGACAGCCGCTCCGCACATCCTCATCGACCGGGGAATGGGAGGGAAACGGGCATCCGATGTACCCAGAGCACCCTCTGCTGCCTGCGCTTCACCGCACATCAATCCCAGTCAGGGGAACCTCGGGGAGAAAGATGAGCCATGCACAACTCACCCTCTCTGGCAATAACATCGGCATCGATCACGGCACAGCCCAGCTCCCGGAGTACGGCCACCACCGTGCTCTTCCCCGACGCGATTCCACCCGAGAGTCCGACCAGGAACATCGTGCTCTGAAACAGAAAGAGAGCTGAGAACACGCCAGGCCACGGCTGCTTTGTTCACGCTGTGCACATCAAACATTTACACCAAACAGGCGACTTCATTGAGCTCAGTCACACGCTTCCAGGGAGGCACCGAGACCCTATTACACGTCTGGCACCCCCTGTGTTGGGTGCCCCGGCTCCACAGGCTGAAAAACAGCCGGGTTAAACGAGGCTTCCCCAGGCCCTGCAAGTTCTGGCTGTGTGGTTTGAGCCAGCTCTGAGCTCCTGCACCTCCCTGAGACTCGCTGGGATTGCTCCCATTTAGCACCCGTGCATCAAGCCACAGCCTCGCCTCCAGCACCCCGAATTCCAGGACATTGAAATCTCCGAGGGTAACCCAGAATCAGAGACAAATGGGAAGAACTTCCCCAACATCTCAGCCCACGAACACGAGGGCTGATAGCGAGAGCGCTGCTTGATCTCAGCAGATGGGGTGTAAGAGATGAGCTACCTCTGACATAATCGGGCCGCAAAGCGCGGCAGCCAGCGAGTAAATCCCATCCCCACGTTACCTGGAAGCCAGAACCGTCTGTGGCAGTACGCACTGCATGGACAGCACGATGGATGCAAGGCGGCACGGCTCCGTGCATCGGGCTCGTGTCTGTCAGCTCCCAACGGCAGCGCTGCGCGCACAGCCTGGGCTTGCCGACAGCCTCGAGGCTGGGGGGGGCCCTGCGACCACCCCACTGACCCACGGCAGCTCTCGCTGCTCCTGCGCTGAGGTCCCAGCTCGCTGGGAGATCTCTCCCTGCTCAATCCATACCCTGAGACCCCCTAAATCTGGTTTTCACCTTCTCACCAAAAGGCTGAGCAGCACAGGCACGGCTCTAGGCAGAAGTAGGGATGCCTGTGAGCGAGGTGGTGTCTGAACCGCAGGAATCCTGCAGCACCCAGGGCACCCACAGCAGAGCAGGGAACGGCCTTGGTGCAGCTGAGTCCTGCAAACCCCCATGGGCAGAGCCCCCAGCCCCACAGCACCTTGTCCAGGGCCATGACGCCCTCAGGGGCCAGGAGCTCTCGTGCCCAGCCGGAGCCTCCCAAGCCCCAGCGGTGGCTGCTGCTGAGCAGGAATTGGCTCCATGCCTTTGGCAGTGCCCTTCTTGGAGTCACCGGCTGCTTTTGGACACTCCTCAGCCTCCTTTGGGCCAGACAAAGGAAATCCAGCTCCCACCACCTCTCCTGGACAGCCACCTGCCCCAATCCTGATGGCAGCCCCTGCTCTGCCCAACCTGGCTCCTGTCTCACACCTCAGCACGCAGCTACCAGGTACCCACTGCCCAGGTGGGCCCTCACAAAAGGCTGTTGGGACCACGCTAAGGGCAGGACCGTGGCTGTGCAGGACTGCTGGGGACGGGTGCAGCATCCCAGACACGCAGCACCGCGTCCTTGCTGCTAGGAAAACGCCACCTGCGTCGTGACTCGGCCCTACAAAGAGCACCCAGGCCCACCACAGGCGCTGGATGTGTCCTGCAGGGCCCCCAGCAGCGCCAGGAGCAGTTTTTGCCCCAAAATCACCGATTTTGGGGTGTTTGGGGCCTGCGCCGAGCGGCTCGAGCAGGGGGCAGGCACAAGGGGCAGCCCCCGGGGCCGGGTCCTCGCCAGGGCCCTGCCGGGAGGGGCCGGGACCCCCCCCCCGGTCCCTCTGGAGCCCCCCCGGTCCCTCCCGGAGGCCCCGCCCGCAGCCCCCCGTTCCCTCACCCGCTGCCCCCCTGCCCGGCTTCACTCGCTGCGCAGTGTCCCGCCCGCCCATTGGCTGTCCCCAAGCGCCGTCCCTCTCCCAGCCAATCGGCGCCGCGCTTATTGGTCTCGGCCCGCCCCGCCATGCAGGAAGCGGGTGGGCAGCCCCTCCCGAGGAACGGGCGGCGGAGGGGCCGGAGGAGGAGGCTCCCCGCCACCGCGGGAACCAAACGGGCAGCGGGGGGCTTCCGCCGCCGCTGTGTCTTCCCGTCCCCGCAGCCCCGCCCCGGAGCCGCGCGGAGGCTGATGGGAGTTGTAGTTCCAACCTCCGCCCGGCCCCGTCCCCGCCTGCCCGCGCGGACTACAGCTCCCGGCACCCCCCGCGGCCCGCCGCCCAATCGCGGCGCGCGTTGTTGCGGGGGCGCGGCAGCCGCCGAGGCCCCGTCTCAAGATGGCGGACGACAGTGAGACAGCAGCGAGGCGGCCGCCGGCGAGGCCTCAGCGGCCACCGGCGGAGGAAAACGACCGCGAGCACTGCAGCGACTGCGAGAACGAGGCGGAGCGCGGCTCGAACCGGGGGTGAGCGGCGGCCGGGCCGCGCTCCGCGGCGCCCGCCGGGCCCATTGAGGCGGGCAGCGGCCGGGAAGTGAGCGGTGCCCCGCCCCTCGCGCGCGCTGATTGGTCGGCGGATGGCACCGCGCGCTGCGATTGGCCGAGCCGCCTGTCGATCGCGCCGGGGGGGGGCGGGCCGTCTGGCTCCCATTCACTCCCGTTGCGGGAGCGTGTCCCGAAGCTAAGCAGGGCCGGCCGCGGCCGGGGCCTGGATGGGTGACGGGACCGGGCTGCGCGGCCTCGGGGCCGCCCTCAGCCGGGTGCCGGTCCCGGGGCGATGCCACCCCGCGTCCCCTGCCCCCACCACAGCCCCCTCGGCCCCCCGCGGTGTCACCCAGCGCCACACCGGGGCCTGCAGCTTGGCACCCTGCGATGGTGCCACCGCCACCCCATGGCCGTCCCTGGGGCTCCCTGTGCCCTTCGTCACCCTCTTGTCCCCCGCGTCCCCGGGGCAGTGCCCGGGACACAGCCCAGGGCATGGGGGCAGCCGCAGGCAGCTGGCCAGGGGCTGAACCAAGCGGTGAGGGGCTCACAGAGCCCGGAGGAGGGGAGCGGTGAGACCCCAACCCCGTGCCCGTGGCACTCCGCGAGGCTCCGAGCTGCCCCGAGGCGTGCAGGAGGCGGCGTACCCCGTCCCTGCCCCATAGCAGCGGGCACAGGAGCGCCCCGAAGCTTCGCCCCCTGCCTTCTGAGGGGTTTTGCGCCTCTGCCCTGCTCCTGCCGCTCGCCCGGCCCCGCTGCCCAAGGAGCTTTTCTCTCCCCGTCAGCAGCTGACGTCGGCTGTCCGGTAACCCAAGTTAATAAAAGGTCACCCAAGAAATATGACAGGGGCCTTCTTTGTGACAGCACAGATGTGCATTTGTATTTTATTTGCCTCCCGGGTGTGGCACGGTGTCTCGCTTTAATAGGTTTAGCCATGCTTGGGGAGATTTTTCTTTTCTTTCCCCCTGACATGATTAGGTTTACGGAAACCAGATCCAAGCGGCGAGGAGACACGGCACTTAATCACTGTTACTGGATGAGCTTTCTCGCCGTTATTTCCCAGTGCAGCTGTTTGGGCTGCTCTGTGCCAGGAAGAGGTGTGTTGGAGCGCTCGGAGTGCCCCGCTGCGGGCATCGCGCCCCCTGCGACCCCGGGGAGCTGAGGGGAGCTTCCTGCCCCTGCTAGGGCTGGGCTGGAGCACCACAAGCTGACAGCCCTGTAACAAGCACACTTGTGGAGTTCCCAGCTCAGATAACTTGGGAAATAACCTTAAAATGGCAGGGCTAGTGATGGCCAGGAAGATTTTGGCGCTCGCAGGCGCGTCCCCCACCAAGGCTTCTGGCTGCGGGGCTGCGCAGGGGAGAAAAGGCCAAGCAGGAGAGGCTGTGGTTTGCTTTCTTGACGCGTATCAGTCCTGTGGATTTCCTATCGCCCCGCTGTGCTGAGGTGCAGACGTGTTTCTGGTACAGGCCGAGCGCTGTCCCAGCCCACGGGGACAGCAGGGGACGGGGAGCTCTGATTTCAGCTGGAATTTCCCAGCCGGGTGTGCAGAGCGCTGCCTGGAGTCCTGCCCCTGCCAGTGCCCAGTTGGTGCTGAGAGTCACCAGACCTTGGCTCTGGGATTTAAAAACACAAAAATCTTGCAGAGCAGTAGCAATACTTCCTTTCCTTTTAAGGACAGGAAAGAGGAATTGAGTTTCCTCCGCCCTGGGCCCGTGTCAGCGCTGGGAAGTGGCTGCCCAGCCCTGGCGAAGCCGACTGGGTTTATTTTCCAGCACAGGCTCGAGCTTTCGTATTCGTCCTCATTTCCTGCGCGCGAGAGGGGCGTTGCGCTGGCGGGCGCTCCAGATCTGAAGCCTCAGCTTCGTTTCTGGCTTCCCCGTCGCACGGAGGCAGCGTGCGGGTTGCTTTTTGGCATGACCCATCCCACTGACCGCTCTGTGCCGCGGACGTCTCAGCGGCCCCAGCTGGCTCATGTCCGCGGGGCCGTCGCTCTGCTGGTGGAGATCCCGTGGGCAGTTCCCTGGTTTCGCACCCGCTGCCTCCTCTTTCCCCCCGGGGCTGACAGGCAGAAGCGAGCTCGGTGCGCGGCGTTGTGCTCTGTGTGTCCGCACCGTGCCCCGCTGCCCTCGCACCCAGCTTGGTGACGTCCCCGCTGTCTGGGGGCCTCCCTCTGCTCCAGCCTCGCCTCCGCCCCGCAGCCTAACGAGATTACCTGCCTCCGCCTGCGCCCGATTAGCCGCAGGTTTGCCAGGAGGATTTGCCAGCATCTAAATGCGGGACAGACACCGCTCCTCGCCCAGCGCCTTTCTGGCTGCGAGGCTGTGCCCAGGGAGGAGTTGCAGACGTACGTCGAGCAAAGCTGTCGTCTCCAGCTTGGTTCCTGAGGAGCAACCAGCAGAGTTGGGACCTCTTGGCTCTCTTAGGCGAGGTGTGAAGCAGGCTGAGAGCACGAGCACGACGTCTCGCTCTGTGTGCTGGCAGAAGCGCTCTGATGGCAGCAGAACTTACACAGCCCCCCTCGTGACAGGGCTGTGAGCTCCTGCTTCTGCTGGGTTTGGGGAGCTGAGGGGGCTGCGGGCAGCCAGCAGCAGCCCGGGCACAGTCAGAAGGCCTGGCTGAGCGTTGAGCTCTTCCCCCTTGGGCTTCCCTCCTGCTGCGTGATGAAAATAAAGCTTTCAGATGCAGAAACGCAGCGGGAACACCTTCCTGCTGCACCCGATGTCGGCTGGCTTCCAGCGGGGCTGCGCAGACAGCGGCCCCGAGCCAGGTGAAGGTTGGTGAGGGGCTTCCAAGGGCCGGCCCTGGAGATAGCTCGGGCTGTGAGCCTCAAGCTACTGTGCAGAAAATCAGGTGGGCTCCTTTTCCTCTGGCTGGAGGAGCTGTTCCCGGGGGAAGGTGCAGGAAAAGGCGATGGAAGTGACACTGGGGGCGCTTTGCCAGAGCACTGAATGAGTGGGTTCTGTGCTTGGGGGGGTGAAGCCCCCCAGAAGAGATACTGCAGGTGCTTGGCAAGTCGGGGCGAGACAGATAGCCCCTAACAGCAGCCAGCCTGCCCTCCTCCACCCGCTGTATCTGCCACTGCAGCGCAGGTCAAAAAGGAGATAGGAGAGGAGGGAGGCTGGGAGCACAGCTGGGAGCGCCGCGGGCTCCGTGCGGGGCTGCCAGTTATCGGCTCCTCGGCA